ATGTGTTCAGTCAGACTCTTAGTTAAAAGACAGTGTGGCCTTGAATCACCAACCTGTAGAACACTGTTTTTCTGATTTTGTAGCTCATTTGATGGATATTTCTCACCTCCTGTTCATTTTGTAGCACCTGAAGGGGGGAACCCAGTGGTAGGCTACTTCTGTAGTCTATTTAAACGTTTAGTCAAACTGTACTCCTATGTGGGGTTATATCATATTATATCCCTAAACCACAACATTTCTGGACATCTGCAGCTGTATTGTTACGGGTCAGAGAGTAACAGAAGTAAGTCGACCTCTGTGCAGTATCACTTAAATGTTAGATCATTTAGCAATAATCAAGTAAATCTGAGGTGACAAGTAGAAAATTTCCTCTTATGAACAATCAGAAACAAATACCTTAGAAAGGCTATAATAGTGAAAATACTGTCCCCAAAAGTAGAAATTCATAGCAACAACAGTGAATACACCTGAGACTAGTTAGGTTAATATCCAATGAAGCTACAGCATGTTTCCCACAGGGGCTGAAAATGAAATTGTTTGACGACACAAAGATGAAAAAGGATACAGGCAGATAAGTGGCCAACTAAAAACCTAGAAAACACAGTTACAGTGATAATCAGGAGATAAAGAATGAGTCACAGCTCCACTAATCAGAGCTGCACTGCCCATGACCCCATGAGAAGTGAGCTGCTTGCACAATGTGGCTGTAATAAACAGACAGGGACGTGCTTCAGACTCACACATGATGTTATCAATGGACATCAGAGCTTCTGTGACAGTGCAGTTCATCATCCATCACAGTGGGCAAGAAAAAAAAAACCTGCTGCAAGATGAAACTTCCCTACAGAGCGTGAAAACAAGCCTGCTAGATGTTGGGAGCACATTGGGTGGTCAGATAAGGCCAAGGCAGCTTTATCTGGCTCACATGGGGTCCAGCATGTTGGGTGTGAATATGGTCAGCACTACCACAGTGAGTGTATTGTCCCTGCAGTGAAGCTGGATTGTGATGATGTGGGGAAAAGTGCAAAAGTTGTTGGGTTGATGACATGTAGGTGACGACGCCATGGATACCAGTGGATATCCTAAAAATACTAGCTGACAAGATGACTTCCAGGCTGCAGAAACTTGGCAGAAGCAGAATATTCCAGCATGATAATGATCCAAAGCAAACCGTCACACGAAAGGCTTTGAAGAAGAAAGACATGAAAAGAGAGAGTTAGAGCAACACAACTCCTCCAGCAAAGAGCAGAGGAAGAATGGCAGAACATATCTCCAGATTTGTGTGCCTGTGTTTCCAATATAGTAAACCTAAACGTTTTGTTTTTAGGTTTAAAGAAGAGTAAAAACTTTACTGATCAACTTGGAAGTGTTGTTATTACTGGGAAGTGGCAGAATTTGGTATCGTGTGATGTTGAACAGGGATATGCTCACCTCTGGACACCGACTGACATCCACAGTGGCGTTGTCACAAGTCTTTATGTGTTCTGGATGTGAAATGGGAGTTTTTCCTTTGAAGGAAATGCCGTTGTAGATGCACAGAATGATTCAACTTTATTGGTAATTCATTTTGCATTCTAAAGGCCGACTTTGTCAGGAGGGAGGTAAATGCACAGTCACTAAACATTCATCCAAAGTACAGTATTAGCACTCATTTAGCGAAACAGTGATCCTCGTTAAGCAGCAAAATAGAAGAGATGAAAAAATACAACCCGGCATCATCTTTGCAGCAGCTAATATGGTCACATGAGAAAAAAAACAAGTTAAAAGGTGATATAAATAATAAAATAGCAAGAAAATAAATACTAATTTGTTAGAATGGGTCTGTAAACTGGGAGTGTCTTGGTTCCTGCAGCAGTCTCCTCACAAACTGATGCACAAAGGAGTTACTTAGCCTGATACATTTAAATTGCGGGGCTCTAAATCCATCTAAGCAGCGTGAAAGATCAGGATAGATACCACCAGCAAGTCTGAGCTGGCTCTTCTTGTGAGCTGAAAGTCCAACAAAAATGGATAGTAAAAGGCACATTGTCGTAGGAAGACTGTTATTGTGGATATCTGAAATGTGCACACTGACAAGAAAACAACCACTTTGGCTGTTAAGAGTTAAAATGTCCTGCCGTAACACACCTTTGTGGTTTTATTAGCACATGGACCACAGGTGTTTCCCATCATAGCTCCCACAACGGTCACCTTACCAGACAAACTAAGTGAAAACACCGGCGCGGCATTTCAGGGTGGGTTTTCCTTTTATGAGGCACTCAACTTGCTGTATTTCCTTTCAGTCTAAAAGAGGCAGAGGGAGGACACGGTGTCTTCCTGGAATGTGACAGCACAACAAAGGACTCCATCTTGAGACACTTGAAGGTGTACAAACTCCGCAGGAAGGTCAACATCGGCCCCTGTCCAGACCTCGCTGTGTGGGCGGTGCTTTCGCAGCAGACCAGCCGGGGTCAAGAGGTCAGTGAACCTGAGCTTTCCTCCCCTGAAAAGGCTCTGGTATGGGAGGCTGATCCTCGAACTCAGCAAATGGGCTGGAGATTGGTGTTGCACCAGCAAGTCGACCCCCTGGATATAATAGCATCGTGTCAGAAAGGAGACACAGAGGAGTACCACAGACATCGCTATACGATAGGTAACACCACACCAGCTTACAGATTGCATTAGAACATGAAGTAAAATAGATTTGTCTGAGCACGTGCTCTAGAAATTTTGTGACAAGTGTTGTTTGTTTCCTCTGCTGTCATTGTTGCCCAGGACTTCCAGAGGGAGTCAAGGACCTTCCTCCTGGGGTGGCCCTGCCGCTAGAGTCAAACCTCGTCTACATGCAGGGTATCAGCTTTAGCAAGGGCTGTTACATCGGCCAGGAGCTTACAGCCAGGACTCATCACACTGGGGTGGTGCGGAAGCGCCTGATGCCAGTGCGCTTGTCATCTCCAGTCCAGGACCTGGAGGAAGGTGCCGCATTGCAATCGCAGACAGGCAAGCCAGCTGGGAAGCATCGAGCAGGCGTAGGGGAGCTGGGCCTGAGCCTAATCCGCATGGCTCATGCCAAAGAGGTGTTGACGCTCAAATCTTCTGACGACTCCACAGTGACACTTGAGGCCTCTGTGCCAGACTGGTGGCCCAAAGATGTCAAAAGCAGCTGAAGAGGAGGATGTTTTAACATTCCCTAAAATGTGACATGCTTCAATCTGACAGACTTCTCGCAGACAGAACACGGCGTATGTTACACTGTCATTGCTGAACCGCTATGTGGCACCCATCCCTGTTTGTGAGTATTTTTGTTTGCAATGAAACCTATTTTAGAGTGATTTTCCTAAATTGTAAAGTATTATTTATCACAGAGCCTGCTATTTCACAGAAGTGTTGTATTTCTCTACAAAAGGATCCACCAACCATGATGCACTATTGGTGGTTATTCAATAAATATGCAAAATAGCAAAACAAAAACTGTTGTTTTTTATATTTATGTGTTTATTTATCCTTTTTATCTTTCAGTGCAAAAACAATCTTCAGACATTCAAAAGCAACATTTGAGATTACAACTCATCTCAACACATACAATCGTCTTTTTATTTTGCACCAGAACAAATTGGCACTTTTCATTCAAGCTATTTCCAGGTGGATGTAATAGTTGAGACACTGAACAGATTACTCCTGGTAAAGGAGATGCTGCCCTCTTGTGGATTGAATCGTGTCTCGAATTTGCTGTAACATGGTTTCCGGCTGCAAAGTCAACGTCGAGTGATCGAGCCGCTTAAAGTCTTCATTGCACAGGAGACATTCGATTATGTGAGCCACTCTTTGTAGGTCAAAGGCAGCGTGGTAAGGTCCGAGCGTGGTGAGGGTCTCTGAGAGATGCCGTGAGTACTCGGAGGGATCCCCAGAGGAACAGGCATTCAGGAAAGCCATTCGGTTGTCGGCGATGATTTTCAGGAAGGAGGCAAATTCCCCGTAGTCTATACCAGAGCAGGCCTTCATGATGACCTGAAAGGAAACGCACCCAATAATCGCCATTATGTTATTATACTGTAACACTCTGCAGCATATTTTTTCAGAAAAATAAAGTTGACTGAACAGTTAAGTGCACAGTACCTGGCAGTGCTGATGCCATGAATCCATCGTGTTCCTCCACTCATCTATCTCCTTCTGAACAGACGACAGCTCATTCTGAAGGAACTGCCACATTATGTCAATGTTGCAGCCATTCAGCCAATTATGGTTAATAGAGATGGTATCTTCCTGCAAGAAAACCATTAAATTACATCAGTGACACTTCTTACACTTTCCTACATCCATAATAAAGGAGACTTCTATCAGCATTACATATCATCTGATCGATTATTTTGCTCTGTTTCAACTACTTTGATATGCTCCTCGGTGCAGTTCTTACCAGATTATAAACTTGATGATGCCAGCCGCTGGGCACGAAAATGATTTCACCAGCCTCTTGAATTATTTCAAGAGGCTGACAGGCTTCTTCGGAGTGCGGAAAAAGGCCTCTGTCTCTCAGTTCAGCTGACGTGATGTCGTACGGGAGGTTGCCGTGAGTATCTCGTAAAAAGTCCTCCTGACCTGGAGGATACAGGAGCCACTTCTTCCTGCCACAGATGTTTGCAGACCAGCTGTAGGAGCGGAACACGTCGGCGTGGAACGGGGTCCTGGTGACGAGGGAGAGTGTTACACTATTATCTATACGTGTGGGTTTCGCCAACATTATGTTTAGTTTTTCTTACCATGAGCCTTTCGGTCCCATGTAGACAAACCGGTAGTCGTCCACTTCAAGTGTATCCCAGTATTCATTCAGCCAGTCAGAAGAAAAGAAGACCGGAGTGGTGTAAACATTATGTTCTGGAAAGTCCCTGGAGAGCAAAATAAGGTTCATCATATGTTGCATATGGTGCAAACAATTCAACTTAGAAATAACTCACTTCAGCTGTAAACAGTATTTGTAATTGTAGATATTCAAACTTGCATTAGTCACACCACCAACTGTGGATATGCAAAATGGTATTTCTACTAGTCTTAATGTTCTTTGGATTTTGAAAATAATGAATATCTGTCATTGAGATTATGACAAACAACAAATTAACTATGAACATCTGAATTTTTTTTTTTTCCTTGCAAAGATTTCCACTGCAGGAAATGCAGTTGTGGATACTGTTCAGTTTTATTTTAAGCTTTCATTGACATTCCTTTTGCATCACACAACTTACTACTACAGTTCACATGCATAAGTCCCTGCAGCGCCAACACTTCCAGTTAAATTAGTATCACGCTGATACCTTGACATGTGCCAGTCTTTAAGATAGAGGCATCCTTTGGGTGATGAGTGTCCATTCTGGATGTATTCCTTCCAGTAGTGTATAAACTCTTTGAAAGGCATGACTTGCTTGGGGTTGGCATTGTATTCCTTTGCGTTGCAGTTTGCAACAGGAACAGGAGTCTCGTCTGTGTGAAACAATAACAACAGATCAGTTTACATGATACCAGTCACTGAAGCATTGATGCACAGGAGGCGTATTTACCAAATTCCTGCAGCAGTTTCTGGAAGTTCGGTTTCCCCTCCTCAGTCACCCACTGTCTCCTACACTTCCACTCCTCTGTGAACCTTCTGGAAAACATACACGGGTGATTGGGAAGCAAGTACTTCTTGAAAAACTTGGAATAGCTCAGCTCCTTGTCGATGTAATCTACAAAATGTGAAGACCAAAACTGCTCATACGTCTGCCTGGGTATTTTGACCAGGCTGCTGCAGTTACGGTACGCCTCCCTGTCCATGGTGGTAAACAAGGCTGGCTAGCTAGCTAGTTAGCTAGCTAGCTAGCCAGTTAGCTGTCACGGCTTGGAGACGCTGAGGGAAAAGCTAGCGGCCAGGTTGGTTTGCCATTACACAGCGAACGTATTCTCACTTTTTCCCCCCCGTCAAAATTGAAACCGTTTTGGCTAGAAAACAGAGAACACTACGCTAAAACGCATTTTCTTCTATTTTGACAACAGGTCGCTGCTAATGACAGCAACCGGACGACTGCAGCTTGTGGCTCCTGAACGACGCGAACATGATGCCGTCGAGTTCTACATGTTATCAGCGCTTTATAAATATGTCATTTCGATTTCTTTAATACGAATAAAGCCTTAGCTAAATCCCAAACCGCCGTCCGAGCTAACGCTAATTATTTTCAGCAAAACCTTGTCGTGATAGTGTTTGATGCCAACAGAGTCGGACAGTAAATACAGACGCACTCTAGTCTGACGTCACTTCCGTAATAAACATCACAGTTACTGAGAAGACAGCGAGGTAACGTAATGCTCAGCCCAGTGTTCACCATTACTGTGGTGTGGAACTGATATCATTTCAAATGTTATAAAGGTTATAACGTCGTAATGACGCCCGTGTGATGCGCTCAGCTGGACAGAGAGCTGGAGTTGTCAGTGTGAACGCCTCAGCTGAGCTCATCTGCAGCCTGGATTACACTCTGGACAAAGTATGTTCACCATCAGGACAGAGATCACTCAGCACAACACGCTCATGATGTAGATTAAAGCAGCACCAGTGATTGCGTGTGATTCATGTTTATGTAACACCAGAGCTGGTTTGTCCTTCTTCCAGGTGAACGTCTGTGTCTCCTTTCAAAATGAGCCGGGACGTTGCCATCCACAGCTGGCCTGGCTCCTATTACATCAACAGTGAGAAGCGGTGGGAGAGTGGAACCCTGTCCCTCACCAGAACCACGCTGCGCTTCGTCTCCAACCAGAGTAAGGAGAGTCTCGCCAGTTTCCGTCTCTCCCGGATCATGGAGATCAAGATGGAGTCGTCTAGTTTCATCTTCAGCACTCTCACGGTGCTCGAAGAGGGCAATGTGAAACACTGGTTTGGTTCTCTAAAGCCCAACAGGGTGGTGGTTTATAATGTGCTGGAGCATTTCTGGAGAGAACGCCTTCTTTCTCCCGGTTCAGAGGCCCGAGGAGCTGAGTGTCAGCCCTCTAAAGGGAGAGAGCTGATCAACCTGGTAGCAGGAGCCCAGAGAAGACTGGAGGACACTGGGAGAGTCCTCAGCCACCAGGGAGAGCAGTTTGACAACATGATGCAGGGTCTGGAGAAGATCGACTCTGACTTGGGCGTGGCTGACAAGTAATTGTCTTAAAATATCCTTATTTATTCAATGTTTGCTCATGTCTTGTTCATGTTCTACGCCTATGTTGTTAACTGGTATAACTTAGCAGGAAACAGGCCTAATTAAATGGTAACATGGCTTTTTTTCTGGTCCTGACTACTTTGACTTGCAGACTTCTGTCAGAACTGGAGTCTCCCTCCTGGTGGCCTTTTGGTAAACTCCCCTGGAAGACTCAGCAGGAGGCCAAGGCCGAGGACGCAGCAAGAGCTGCTGCTGCTGCTGCTGCTTCAGCAGCGAGAGGTTCTAGTAGGAACAAGGTGATCAGCAGCATCCCTGCTGTCGTGTCCAAAGGTGGAGACTCGGACTTGAAGCCTGGTTGCTTGCTAGTGCTGGTGTCCTCACTGGAAGTGAGAGACACAAACTGCCAACTTCTTCACCGATTTGAAAGAAATGAAATTGACGAAATCAGAGTGCACAGTCCCTATGAGATCACTGTTAGACAGCGTTTCATTGGGAAGCCCGATATATGTTACAGGTTCCTGTCTGCCAAGATGCCAGAGGCGCTGTCAGTGTTAGAGATGCAGTACAAGAAGAAGGTGGAGTTCACAGGCGAATACACGGCTTTCAAGGCGACTCCTCTTTCATCTCCATGTGACCCAGAAGGGACGAGCTGGAATGAAGGTAAGGAACAGATCAAATGAAGCCGCTGTGAGGTCGGTGTTGTTTCTATGCCTGCAAAAGTTTGACCACTGAGTGGCAGCAAAGGTCTATGTTTCCATCGTTATGTATTTATAAGTGTGCAGCCACATGTAAAAACATTTCATCATAGTTATTGGTGTCTCTCCTTGACAGAAATGTATTTTCATGAGTCAGTTCACCCCGATTGCCTCAGTTGCTGTACTCTGAGTTTACTGTCTGGTTTCCTCATAAACAACATATGCGCTCTGCACTTTTTCACCATCTCCACCCATGGAGTCAGGTTTGCTGCAGAAGTGCCAAGACACAGAGCTCCCACTGGAGGTCCCAGCAGGAGAGCTGTCCCAGTTGCAGGTGCATGTCCTCCAGCCATCTGTCAGTCAAGCTGAGGCCCAGGAGCTCAAACAGGTGAGAAAGTTGGACTCTGACTGCCTGACTGCAGAAAATATGACTGCACCATTGTGGAGATTTCTCATGTTTGTGTATACTAGACAAGTAATACAAATGAAAAACCCATGTGTGCAGGCAGCAGATTTCTCATGGTGTTAGCTGTTATCGTAAATAATCCTATGGCTTTAGCAACATGTGTTTTGATATTTCCATTCCAAACCACAATACACTATAATGGCTTTTATTTTTCATCCTGTATGTTTAAAATGTTATTTGGTGAGACCGCAAACCAAAGTCCATCCTAGTTTTAAGAGAGGAAAAGAAACATGGTCAGTTATTTGGCCAGACTGTACAGTGTCTTTCCATTCAGAGCCGCGCTACACGGAGAGCCGTCACAGACATGGTCTGTGGTGGCAACATCTACACAGTGACGCAAATTCAGACCTATGATTCGGACAATTTTTTCTGTCTGTGTGTGTGTGTGTGTGTGACTCACTATTACAAGTTGCTTAGGCTAAGATACTTCATGTAAAACTTTCAGCTAGGTACTTTTGTTTAATCGTGCCATTACCATTTATCACCAAAGTTCTATGATGTGTTGCCAAGATCATGCGATAGCTCACCTGATACAGACAGAATAATGTAAACACTCACAGCTAACAACTAACTAAACAAATACTGTAAACACTGGTACAAATGTGGTGACTGCCAATCAGAAGTTCACCCAGATTCACTCTGAAAGGCAGACGGCGATATGTGACGGTTTATAAACCTGATGAAGAAGCATTCAGTGTTGTACATAAACATTCAGCCTCGACAAACTCTACTGACAGAGAAATAGTTTTGAACAAGATATGTGCTGAGTACGAAGCAACATGACAGATTTATTTTATCTGTTAAGGACGGCAGCCAAAAACATAAAGGCTGCATTTGCCAAAGAAAAAGAAAAACATGCAAATTCAAGGACAAAGAGGGAAAGCAGTCAAAAGTTGAAACCTACAAGTAAGATATGATTCACAGATACTTTATAGTGGTTCTGATAAATCCGGAGCGTTTGCGTGCGGCCTCATGTGACTTACCTTTGTTGAGGTGTTTTCTACTTTGGTTTAGTTACTTTTTCGTGATAATTTTTTTTTGTCTACGCACTTCACAAAATTATATCTCGACTGAGTCATTGTTATCACATTATAGCTAAAATTTAGTAAATTATTGCGCACAATAATAATCAGCGGTTCGGCGTTGTTTTTGTCTAAATAATCATTTTTCAAATACTTTTATCGGAGCGGTAACAACCCCGGGCCAATCACAAAGCGTGTTTATAAATGGCGTATTGTCTGCAGCTGATAGTGGTTCACATTTCAAAGGCTGCCAGTTTTGAGTGAATGCCATGCGTCTGTACACACCCTGCTCTTAACGTAACTCATGTCGAGATTAGAATCTACTGTGGAGCAACTTGTACAGAGGGTCACTCAGTGTCATGTCCTGAACTAAGTGCGGTGGCAAATATTCCCCTTTGTGTCAGTATTTTTATATAATTGTTATTGTTTGAGGTTGGAAATTCCTGCTTGTTCGCACCACAAACTGGTTCACTCAGGAGACTGATCAGGGCTCATTGTTAGTCCTGTGCCCTGAATTAGGCCACTAATGCACAAGAAACTAGCTCATATATTTTTCTGTTACTTCCAGCCTAAATGTTTAATTTTAGGGCTTTCTACATGACTTAGGTGCTCTCGCCTTTGTATAAGCAGTCGCTAAAAATATTCATCTTCTGTGTTTTTCTATGACGCACCAAAACTCTTGTGAATGTTAACTGCAAGGTGTGATTCGGTAACGTCGTCCCAGTTTAAACCGTGAAGTCCTGAGTGAGTGAGCGCGGCTGTTCCTCGGTGTGTATTGACATACTATCTGTTTTTCGCTGGGCTGCCTCTGGCTGTTTTTGTGCTCAGTTGAAATGTTCACATAAACCAGCCAGTGAAAACTGACATAATGTCAGTGGCTGTGCACGAGGGCACGTGTAGCATAACATAATACTAGTTTAGAAGCCGTGGTGGTGGGGTTTGAAGTACGTGTTTATTAGGTTTTGCTTGGCACATCGCAGTGTATTTAAGCTGTTCCATTAACCATAACATATACAGTTGTGAGGCCGTATAATATAGTCGCAATATCCCTTAAACCCACTGAAAGTAGAAAACAAACAGTATTGTATATCAGTGATCCCAGGAGACGAGCCAAAACTGGGCTCTACGTGTGTTCTCAAGTTTCATGTGCAGGATGAAATAATATCACATGAATGACTTATTGCATCGAGGTTGGTGTTGAGTTATAGCATCACCTTCTGATGTGCAGACGGTCAGCAGCAGGCTGTTGTCTTTGTAAGCAAAGTGAAGAAGATGAACTCAGAACTAAAGCCACTGCTCCTGACCCCGTCTTTACGCCCCTCCACATGTGGTCCACAGGCTTCACCCTGAACCTAGTTTCAATATTTAATTCTTTTATTTCTGCCTTGGTTCTTCGTCAGCCATGTCTTCTGGAGATTAGTGTGGAGCTACTTAAATAAATGCCTCCGTTTGCAACTCACTGCGTGTGTGTGCAGATGCTGATGCAGCTGAAGAACCTCGCCCTGGAGGCAGAGACGGAGCTGGAACGGCAGGACGAAGTTCTGGACGTCCTGACGAGCTCGACGGACCGAGCCACCATGCACATAGAGAAGCACACCTGCCGCATGAAGAGACTGCTGTAGCGCCGACAGCTCAGGAGACGCACGGTCGCCACGTCCCTTCTGAGAAAACAACGTACTGTACGCCTCCTCATTGTCCACACGGTATCGGTACGATTCTGGAAATAAAGCTGTAGAGTCTCGCATTTAGTCCGAATAGTTCACAGGATTTCTACTACATGTGATGGTTCAGCATCAGTGGTTTCTAGGAAGTACAGCAACGTTCACTTAGCGCTCACCAAAATACCTGAAATTTGCACATCAGTGATTAATACAAGATGAGGATGTAGGAAATGTCTCATATTGACAAAAGCTGACCCTTATGTCAAGTCAAATCGAAATAAAAACAAAGTCTAAACGTGTGATTGAGACAAATCCGCCGTCTTTGTGAACAGTAGAACGGTTCTCCCTCTAAATGCATGACCTGCACCTGCGGCTAGTGTTGCTACCGTTGCATCTGGCTTATATGCTTTTAGCTACATGGCTTTTTGAAAACACATTTTTAATTTTTTTTGGATGTAGAATAAGGAAACAATAGTTCTGTGGGAGGGAAGGCAGGCGTTACTGTAAAACCATAATGGACACAGGAGTAGAATAAAGGTTCATCCCTCACTTCGTGCTTGGCTCGGCCTGATAGATCCCCATGAAAACATGTGTAGGGGAAGCTAACGAGAGGCCACACCCGCGTCAGAGTTCTAGCTGCTGATTGCTGGTGTCACCTGAGCGGGAGCTGAGGGACTTAGCATGAAACCTCAGTGCATGCCACGCGCTCCCAGCAGGTGAAGGACGACGAGTCTATCAGAGGAGACACGCAGCAGCTCGAACCAGTGAAGAAGAAAAGGGACGAAAGAAAGACGAAAACAGCTGGAACATTTACTGACTCTGCACAAACTAATTCAAAACAAGCTGCATGTTGTTTCTGTCGGTGTTATTTACCAGACGGGTGTAAGGGTGACGGAGAAACCGGATTTCATTATAGTTGTTTTTCTCCAATTTAGATCTAAGGTTTAGATTATAGACTGACGGGTGGAGTTAGCCGGTGTCTGATGATGTACTGCCATTCTTCCTTTTTACAACCTGTCCCCGTTAAAAGCGTCTTTCTCAGGTCCTCGGCGTCGCTCATCCTCTCTGGACGGCGTTCCCCTGTGGATAAACGTTGCATGTCTCAATACTGCTGCTTCGTATCGCACCAAGTGAAAACCAGTGTATAGCAGAAGACTGTAAATGTGCAATTAAGTTATGGAACAGAATAGAGAACACTCCCTTTTATTTGTTTGTTTGTTTTTTAAAGACTATTATCATCAAACTACTTCACATCTACTGTACCTGCCTGACACTATTCTAGATCTGTATTATCTGTAAATGACGCGTGTGCTGTAGTTCTGTACTTTGGTTGTGCTCTGTCACCACTGTGAACTCGTACTTAGCCATTAGCTGAACTTGAGATATCTGTACCGACTTTAAAAATGATCTCAGTGCTTCTTTTTGTCGATAATGATGATTTATCTTGGCACAGGATAAACGATTAGCTTTAAATATAAGGGAAGTCTGTCCGCATCGTCGTGAACATCGAATGAATTCCTTTTTATCAGCTTGGAAGTCGTCACCGTTTGAAGTCTGTAATGGCGTTTAATTTGCAATAAAACTGAAGTGAGTTCGAGGTCTGTTTGTTTACTTTGTGTTTTTGTTAAAAGCCACTGCGGTTCCCCTCTGCGGGACATTTTAGTCTGTGTTGATTGTCATGATGGTCATCCCAGGAGCTTCAGGAAAAACAAAACAGCAGATGAACTCATCTTTTTGGTCCACTCACAGTGCCTCGTCAGCATTTTCCAGATGTGGCTGTTTTTAGCAACAAACCTCTGATGAACCAGCAACAAACAGCCAAAGAGTTCTATATTTATCAGGAGTTAATTGATATCAACATCCTCAGGGCAAATTACACCAGTGTTTTGTTCATTCTAACTATAGCTGTGCTTTGATCGCCGTCTAGTTTATCTAAAAATAAATATTTATTTATCAGAGGATGAAGTAGTCGGGGTCAGAGTGAGAGACAGAGAAGATGTTCAGGTCTGGAATGGAAATGCTTCAC